ACAGCAGAGCAACACACTTTGAGCTGCTGTTTTCTGCTGCTGTTTGCTGCTGCCTCTTGCTGCCGATGATGGTGAAAACACAGCAGAGCAGCACGGTTTGAGCTAGTGTTTTCTGTTGCCGTTTGTTGCTGCCGATGAAGGTGAAAACACAACAGAGCAACACACTTTGAGCTGCTGTTTGCTGCTGCCTCTTGCTGCCGACGATGTTGGTGCCGAGGTGAGGAGGAYGAAGAGTCCCRCAGCTGCCGTCTTCACMGCACTGTTGCTGCTGTTTGAAAGAGCGAGGGGACAGAAGGGGCTGCACGGAACAGTTGCATTCRGAGCTGTAACAATGGCCGGAGCGCCGGCGGACAAGGTTAGAGGYGCGGTAAGCAGCAGTACCGGCAAGGGGGCGATGGTGCAAAAGAATTTTATGGAAGAAGCTAGAACTGAGGTTTCTTGCGGTGGTAGTGAGTTATGGGGTTTGAGACCAAGCTTCCTCTCTGACTCCATTCATGACAATACACTAAAAGGTAAGGACTTCCAAACTAAAGTGAGGTGTCAAACTAAGAATGGTTGGTTAGGTTATGGGTCATAGAACATCAGATAATACCCGCCCCCCACTTTTTTTTTTCTCAAATATCCTCAAGCCTAAGACAAGTAAAAATGTAAATGTAAAAGTGAAGGATCTCCCTTAGATTTAGACTAGATACGCAACTGAAAATGCTAAATTTCAGCTATAAAAAAAAACTACATATATATATGAGTTCAAGAATATTAGAAAATAAAAGAATACCTCGTAACGGAACGAGAGGAAATTTGACGCGAAAGATGCAATTGGAGACGAAGGGGAAGAAATTTCAGGGTGTTACAACTCTCCCCATCTTGAATTTTATTTCGTCCTCGAAATTGGAGTTTACGCGAAAAGGTGGGGGTAGCGCTTTTTCATGTCCCCTTCCGCTTCCCAAGTCACGTTAGCACCTCGATGGTGCTTCCATTGTACTTTAACCATGATAATTTCTTTGTGCCTCAAYGCCTTAGTCTTTCTCTCCAAGATGGCCTCCGGTTCTTCGACGCACTGATTGTTCTTATCCAC